GATTATATATTCAATGATTGCTCAGAGTTAGGAGCATTACCATTTAAAAGATAAAAACCACTATGTAAGTACTAATAAACTTGAAGATTCAACAAAGAAATTTAATTGCTTACTATATAATTTAATGGCTTTAAACTGAAAATATGAACAAAATACCCAACTTTTTGCACCATTTAACATACTTTTATTATTTAAATAATCATTCTTGGAAATTTTAGCAAAAAGCATGTTAAGGGAATTAAATAATTACTTGTTGTACTCTTAAATGCTAGCAAATTCAAAGACGTTTTTAACAAAAACCATGTAAATCATTAAAATCCACAAATAAATGTTTTGGATGGAAAATATCTTTAAAACTATAATGATGGGTGTGTTTATGCGGTGGTATTTTTTGCCTCTTTTCCACTATTATGGAACCAAATTATTTCTTAGTCTGTCAATGCTACACATAGTATACCTACCAATAGATTTCTTTAGGTCAGTAACACCAAAAGATACTTTTTTCACAGGATCTGAAATACAGAATTGTTTCTGTGAGTAACTAGTAATTTTACTCTAAATACAATTTTTTGTTACCAGCATAAACACTTGCAACATTTTCTGTAACTCACAAAATAAAACATCTTAATCTTTATACACACTATCAAATTTTATGTGACACATACAGTACAAGTGGGTATGACATCATGATGCCCATATATGGTGAGCAATGCACACACACACACACATTTTCCACATACAAGTAGAGCTATTAGGCAAGACGTTTTTGATACCATGTTTAGTGAACTTGACGCCCACCAAGAATGATGATTTCTAATAAAAATAAAATTTTATTTTTGGCCAATTACTGCATCTGCCACCACAAAATAATGGAAATTTCAGGAGAGAATAAAAGTTTAACATTATTATGCCCACAGCTGCCTTGAAATCTCCAAATATAAGATATGTATATTTCTTCTTAATTATATAAATTTAAAGCATTTAATCATCTCATTACTACACTGTTTACATTCACCAATAAAAATTTATTTTGATATTCTCTTTCGTCAGAATGTTTTTAGCAAAACTCTTGGCTATATGAAATTTTTTTTTTTCTGCCCTCTTCTGAAGATCTTTAAAAAAAATAAGTTTGTGAAACAAAATATAAAAAAAGTCTCGCACTTTTTTTTGAATATTAACATTGCAACAAAATCTTTACCTCCAGTTTCTGGTTTATTCACAAGGTAGAACTTATATCCACCAGGAGCCTCTGCAATGAAGGTGTCATCATCAACTTTCTTTAAAGGCCAGTCAACCTTCCTGGCATTTTCAACTGCCTTGGAAGATTCAACAGTTATTCCCTAAATAATAAGTAATCAACACAAAACCATCCATAAAATTTCCATATAGATTACATTAATATTAGAAAAGAAAGATCATTATTCTATAGAAAATGTCTATTCCGATTGCTTTTGTAAATATTAAGTTTATATTTACACAAAAAAAAAACAACTTTAAATATTGACCACCATTCTTTAAATGGGGTTTCTTTTGATTTTTACACTATAATGGGAAGGTTGCTATTTACACTAAATGAAATAAATACACAATGTAATACAATAGATAAAAATATAAACAATACAAACAATTAACTATAAAAATAGTCATCTTTGTATGTTCCTTTGTAGTCAGTTTACTTTGCTGATTTTGTACTTGTATTTGTTGTGTGTTAAATTAAGTAATTAAAAAAAATCTAAACCTATTACTATTTTAGTATAGAAATCAACGTTATTGATAGAAATAAAACTAGTGTTACTGAAAATTTTTACCAAAATGGTGTCTTACTTATATTCAAATCAATATTGTACTATCATCATATCATTTGATCATTATATCAATTAATGTAGTCCATGCCCTCTACTCTTGTGGCTGTTCTCATACCTGGAAATCATTTCCTAATTCATACTTCTTGATGCCATAGTTGTATGTGAGTTCAATGACAAAGTGACTGTCCTCATCTCCATAGCCAATCATAGACTTGCTCCACTTACTGTCATATGGTCTAAAATGACAAGAAAATTAATAATCAAGAATGGAAATGTAGCTTTGTTACAGTAAGACACTTGTCTTACACCAATAAGATAAGTATCTGAAAGAAAGTTTTGATATGTTTTGCAGATGAATTTTCCATGATAATGTTCAGAATTTTAAAAAAAAGTACAAGATGAATACAGATTATTTTATACTATAAGCTGGAATAAAAAGTGATGTTTGAAAGTTAAAACTCAACAGCTTTAAATTGATCTTATTAACAAATTATCCTACCCATTACATGATGCTTTGCAACCTTCATCAAATTCTTCATGCCGGAGAAACTGAAAAAGTAATGGGATAAATTAGAAATCAAACTTAGCATTGAAACAATTGAATCAGAGTAGAGAAGAGTAACAAAGACATTGTGTGAATTTAAAACAACTGTCACACACTGACAGTTTGAAGTTTTTAGGGGCACTATACTTTAGAGTATAGAAGTCTTAGAGAAGATATGATTGAGGCATTTAGAATTATTAATGGCCTCTTATTAAAAACCACAACATTTAAAGTATCTTACCAACCGACACAAGAACACCAAGCAAGTATCAAGCAAAAAACCTGACCAATTAGAATGTGCAATTTAAATAGGAATACGCGCATGTCCCACCAACACAAAATTTTATGTTGTGTTGTTGGATAACAATATCCAAGCACACAGGGACACTTGAAATTAAAACAAATTGGGTATATAGGGGCTAAACAGAGGGCTAAATCATTCAAAAGGAAGATTATGCATGGCCTATCCTAGATTTACAACAGGCCTTAATAGCACTACAATTTCTATATGGTGAGCCTACTGAGCGAGCATACTGTCTTTGTAAGGACGATACTACTACAAACAAGGGCTACTACAAATATCTAGGCATATTCTTCTAGTAGTAGAGTAGTAGTAGGACCAGCTTTCACTACAATAATAAAAAGGCCTACTTCTAATCTTGACTTGGCTTGGAAGGACTTAAGTTTCCTTTCTGTTTAATTACTCCATATACAAACCTTCATTCCCAAAACATCTCTATAAAATCTGGCAGTTGCTGTTCTGTCACCAACTTTAAAAACGAAATGTAAAGCTCTAAAGTTAGACATTTTAACAATTGTTTTACTACAAGTACAACCAACAACAACACTAAAAACACTCTACAACTGTATTTGTTTGGATAATGAGCATGCAGAAACCAGAATATCGTCGTGTGCTAATCTCCGCACAATACAACCCACAACACATCACATTAACAATAAGTCCATCTAACTATCGCAATTTATACCCTTTAAGACCATATGTTATCACTTTGTATCATATATTAACTAGTTGTGCACATTACCATTAATATACTGGACAACGATCTAAAATTATATAATAATATCCATAATAATAACAATATAATGTTTCCATTAACTTGTCATTCATAATCATTTTATAGCAATGATATTTAACTAATTCTGCTCATTAGGCCATGTAAAATAAAATAATTGGTTAGCATCCTTATGTTATCAATTTTCATTGTAGGGAGGGAGGTTTTTTTTTTTTTTTTGCATTGAACATGAAAAAAGAGTTTCGCAAGGAAAAACAGCAAATAAGAAGAATTAAACAACAGAGACCAAAATTACATACAAGCATCTATAGCAAGCAGGAACTTTACCTATGAATAACGGCGTCATAATGCAATTATCTCTATGTATTATCATGCACAATTCACTCCTCAACACAACAGGCATCATGGATACCCATGTGGCTACAGTATAGGCCTATAGAACAACAGTAGAGCATAGAACTGCAAGTGGATTGGCTAGTGTGTGGACGGGTGGTAAACAAACCTATATTAAATTGAGTTTGTGAGTGTATTGTAAAAAAAAAAAAAAAAAAAAAAATCGGGTCGGTGGCCTTTTTGATGGTTGGGAGGGGATGCTAACCAATTATTTTATTTTACATGGCCCAATGTTCAGAGTTTTAAAAAAAAGTATAAGATGAATACAGATTATTTTATACTATAAGCTGGAATAAAAAGTGATGTTTGAAAGTTAAAACTCAACAGCTTTAAATTTATCTTATTAACAAATTATCATACCCATTACATGATGCTTTGCAACCCTCATCAAATTCTTCATGCCGGAGAAACTGAAAAAGTAATGGGATAAATTAGAAATAAAACTTAGCATTAACAATTGAATCAGATTAGAGAAGAGTAACAAAGACATTGTATGAATTTAAAACTACTGTCACACACTGACAGGTTGAAGTTTTTAGGGGTACTATACTTTAGAGTATAGAAGTCTTAGAGAAGATATGATTGAGGCATTTAGAATTATTAATGGCCTCGTATTAAAAACCACAACTAAAGTATCTTACTAACCGACATAAGAACACCGTCCAAGCAAATATCAAGTAAGTAAAACCTTACCAATTAGAATGTGCAATTTAAATAGGAAAACGCGCATGTCCCACCAACACAAAATTTTATGTTGTCTTGTTGGATAACAATATCCAAGCGCACAGGGACACTTGAAATTTAAAAAAATTGGGTATATAGGGGCTAAACAGAGGGCTAAATCATTCAAAAGGAAAATTATGCATGGCCTATCTTAGATTTACAACAGGCCTTAATTAATAGCACTACAAGTTCTATATGGTGAGCCTACTGAGCGATCATACTTTGTAAGGACGATACTACTACAAACAAGGGCTACTACAAATATCTAGGCATATTCTTCTAGAGTAGTAGTAGGACCAGCTTTCCTATGGACTACAATAATAAAAAGGCCTACTTCTAATCTTGACTTGGCTTGGAAGGACTTAAGTTTCCTTTCTGTTTAATTACTCCATATATACAAACCTTCATTCCCAAAACATCTCTATAAAATCTGGCAGTTGCTGTTCTGTCACCAACTTTAAAAACGAAATGTAAAGCTCTAAAGTTAGACATTTTAACAATTGTTTTACTACAAGTACAACCAACAACAACACTAAAAAACACTCTGTATTGTTTGGATAATGAGCATGCAGAAACCAGAATATCGTCGTGTGCTAATCTCCGCACAATACAACTATTACCATTATTAATTAAAAATATTATTTTTAAAAAATTAATACCATTATTAAAAAAAGATTTGAAGAATTTATATATACAAAATTTGTAAATTTAAATGAAATAATTTTTTTTTTTTTGTAATTTGTGTTTGTACAATAAATAATCGATTTGTGAAAAAGCCTGTAGAATAAATCAACATGGCGTCCTCCATGGACTTCTTCAGGAAACTTGGTGCTGGTGCGAAATTTGATCTAAAAAGATTTCAGCGTGATGCAGAGAAAATTCATGTTAGTTACTGTACTGTTAAATAATGACTTACATATAACCTGTCTAGGCCTGGTACTCTAGGCGTGGGGTCAGGCTAACCTATTTACGGCGCTAGGCCTCTCGAGTTAGGCCTCCAGCTACTAACGTGTGTCTAGGCGCTAGCTGGTCCTCGCCGTAGGCTAGGTATGGTCCACCGCCAGAGGAGGACCGAGCTGGCGCTGGCCCTGGTGAAGTAGTATGGTTAGGCTTTATAGATTAGTTTGAGGTCACTCTGGCTGTGCCACCATACTGTATGTTATTTTAAACTATAAAAGGAAGCTTTCATTGACATTATTAGGCCTACTGACACTGTCTCAGTGTCTGTAGTCTAGGCCTAGCTAGTTAAAAAATCTGAGTTTTTTACTTTAGGTCTACTGTATGTATGGCTTATATTCTTATAACTTTAAGACGTCTTCTATTTTCTCAATCGTTTTAATTGTTTTGTTTAATCAATCAACCTATGTTGTTTTACCCCAGAGGCTGTGGCAATTTGGCCAGCGTTATTTCAGTCTTGGTCATTTCGAGTGAAAACCACCTGGGTTAGGAAGAAGCCGAAACCAATATTTCCTGTCTTTATTTCTATAAATTATAGTGCCTACAACTTGCCAAAAAAACGGCCCAAGACTGGCATTGCTCAATACTATGCCTAGATAATTAAAAATAAAAACATTTAAACAGCACTTGAAAAGGAGTCTGCATCAGAGCATTGGTTGTCTTTGACTAATTTGAAGTGCATTTCATAAATTGGCTTCATTTCCCTCATTTTTGTTGGTCACCCCATCTTTGAATCTGCCAGTCCAGTATTTTACATCTGTATATATATTATTACTTTTCCCTACGTCTACTGCAATAGAGAAGTTCAAATAAAGAGGCAGCCTAGGTAAGGTCTAGAAGTAAAATGTAAATACATTTTTTAAAACTTTCTACCATTTGGTTTAATTTTTTAGATCAAGAAAGTCTCCCAGCAAAAATCAGCAAAGCATGTGCATGCATCCCTTGATTTCTTTAACTCGCCTGGAAAAAGGAATCAACAAGGAACAACTGATGATCTGGAGGGAATTAAAGAAAAAGACGAAATAGAAGATGAAAGAGTGAACACCTCTGTTAAACGAAAACAGAATCCACAAGGTACTGTTTTAAATAATAATGTATATTAATAATGACAGTCCTGTAATTGTTTGCACGTTTTATTTTATTGCACACTAACTTCTGCTGTACGAGATCCGCCAGTGCACCATTAGAGCAATGTCTTTAAAATTGAAATTCTGTAACATTGCTTAATTTTTTATCTTACTGAGTTTATGTATACTGATTTTAGGTTTCATTTTAGTTGGGACATTCATTAGGTAGCTGGTTCTAAATTGATGTGCCTCCCTTTCAACCAGATGTCCTGCTTTTAAATGTTCATTGATTGATATGTGTGAATTTGAATGTCAACTCTTAACTGAAAAATATTTAAAGAGAAATGTTAGGAATAATTATATGTTGTTGTTATCCTTGGATGTTTGTTTTTTCAGGGCTTAAAACTGAAAGTCAAACTGTAAAGAAGAGTAAACTTCCTCCAGAAACAATTGAATTGCTGCGACAAGAAAAGGTACTAGATAAATACAATACAGTACTGAGCACACTAATTTATGTCTTTAAACACTTAGAGTTGATTAACAGGGCGGTAAAGATGCTTGCCTTCCAGTTCTGGGGGCATGGGTTCAATTCTTATCACTCTTACAGGATTTTGTCTCACAACACCAAAGACACTGCCACTCTGTAATGCGAGACCATTTTTATACCTTGTTTCGCAAACTTATTTTATAGAGATCATCAGACTAGGGTGGAAAAAAATAAGAATAAATATTGTTTTCTTTAAATTTTGCAAATAGTTTTGCCAAAAACATCCAGATGGAAGAGAAAATAAAAATAAAATAAAATGTTATTGTTGAATGTAAACGGTTACAGGAAATATATAATTATGAAGAAATACATATTTAATTTTTGGAGATTTTTTTGGCAGCAGTGGGTGTAATAAAAATTAAGAAAAACTTTTATTATTATTTTTTTTAATTTCCATTTTTTGTGGCGGCTGATTGGCCAAAAGTAAAATATTATTGTCGATCGTCAATGAAACTTGGTCTATATAGGCTTTGTGTTGTGTCTTATGCAGGGATTGCCACTTCAAATATGATTGAATTTGCTGATTGGCATATTTTTGGTCCTTGTTCCTAAGAGTTTTATATATATGTATACAAAAAAGTAGCCTGAAATTGACTCGGTATTAAAAATTATATTTAGTATAACATTAATCAAGTTTAATTTCTCTCTCAAGATCAACTCTACCAGAAAGAAAAACAAAATTCATTTTGAAGGAACTGATGTGCCTGAGCCAGTCACAGATTTCCAACAGTTACAACAAGAATACTGTGTGCATGGAAATATCCTAAGAAACATTGCACAGTCAGGATATGAAAAACCAACACCTATACAGATGCAAGTCCTTCCTGTAATGCTAAATGTAAGTTGCACCAGATACATGTATTCTAAAATATAAACCGAAAGTGAAGAACTGTGTGGCTAAGTTGAATATGCACACTGACCCACCTGTGGGGGAACGATGGACCAATGGTTGTAGAAAAGCTGAACCACTGTTAGTTATACTTAACTTCCTTTGTAAATTTCTTCGTTTCCACCATGTGTTGTGCTTTTGAGTATTTTAAAAATGATTATATAAAATAAATAAATAAATAAATAAGAAATAAAACACAGGTTATAGTGCACTCCTTCACTTGGCTCATTTCCATTTTAAAGTGACAGTTTAACACAAAGAAGCACATTTATACTTACAGTTGTGTAAGCTGTTTTACTGGACAAATTAATTCATCCCTTTACTCTTCAGAATGCCTATTTTAAAGTTGGACAAAATTATTTATAAAATTCTCTATTGTCTTTGCAGAGACGCGAAGTGTTGGCTTGTGCACCGACTGGATCTGGAAAGACTGCAGCATTCATCATTCCAATCTTGGCCCATCTACAGGTTTGTCCTGGACTGTTCCAAATTATTTTTAGTATCACAAGAATATAAGAAGAATAAATGATCAACATTTTAATGAATGATCTCCATAATATACAATTCTATTACGTGTAACATGTCTGTTTGAACCTGTCTTTGTGCCTATTGCTGTCTACAAATACAGGTCTCCCTTAAATTTATGACCACTTTTGAGACCGGGGTTCCATTGTAGCTTTGGTCTCTAATTAGAATAAGAAACATAAAAAGACATTCGTGAATTTTGTACCACAGAAAATCTTTTAATTGGAAGTAGTCTTTAATTGGAGGGATATTTAGTTAGAGGGAGACCTGTACCATTTTTTTGTGAAGTGCACTATTGTTATTGATTAAACACAAGTTAAAATTGAGATCAATATTATTTTAGAACAAATTTATGGATAATAATAAATACATCAAATATTTTTTGTGGAAATGTGGTCTTTAATTGGAGGTGTCTTTAAATTGAGGGAGACCGGTATTAACAAACAAATCATTTAAAAATTTGTTACATAGCATTTGTTTAGTAATAATTTATTGGCACCCATTGTTGCACCCTGCAAAGACTGAGGGTCCTACACAATGAATAGAGGGTAAATGCCCAAGTCTGATTTATGTGAGGTCTCACAACTTTTACACACAATTTTGATTTAATGTTTTTGAATAATTGATACTTATATTTTATGATTGTATACTTTTTAAGTGAATTTTCTTACTAAAAAAGTGTTCTCTGCACATATTCTGTAATTCTAGTCCTAGTATTTGTACATGTTAGTTTATCTTTGAGGCTAACTTTCTCAAAACATGGTTTTCAAACACCTAAACATTAAATGCTCACATCTCTAGGCCTACTTCTCCTGTGGAAGCTATTCAAAGACCAAATTAAAGTTTATAATGTGATCTACCCAAATGCAATATAAGCTCTGTTTTTGATTTTCTAACCATGAGACTTATTTTGTGGTGAGACCTCGCATATCTTCTTGACATATTTCTCATGCTATTGCCCATTCATCAGTTGTTAAAAATTTATATGAACTTAAATGAATTTAAAGAAAATTACTGATTTTTTTTTTTTAGAAATCAAGAGGTAAAGGAATAAAAGCTGTAGTTGTGTCACCAACAAGAGAACTTGCACAGCAGACATATCGAGAGTTTGAACGTCTCGCAGAAGGTCAAGAGTTAAAAATCAAAGTACTTGATAAAATACAAACAATGAACAAGTCAGCAAAACTAATATGTGGTATGTTAGACTTTATATATAGGTATTGTTTAAAGTGTCCTTGAGTGTAATGGTGGGAATGATTATTGAATTGTGAAAACAGGGGTGCATATAGAGTTGAGGTGTATTGAAAGAAACTGTTTTAATATAAAGTTAAGAAAAAATAAGAGAATGTTGTACAGTATGCCATCTTGATAGGTCATTGTCACACCATTCATTCATCCAAAAGTACACAATAGAATAGCACTATATTAACCCTACTGTTAATAATCAATAAACAATACTAACATTTTATAAACACATAAATGTAAAGTGATGGCTGCTAATAATTATACTACTAAAAGTAGTAGTAATAATAATAATTCTTTATTGGTCCTCATTCAATATGAAATCGGAAATTCGGGCCTTGCCCCTGGGGACCTACAACACACACAGTGCAACGCCACCCAACTTTAATACATAACGGACACACAGATACAAACATTGTCCTTAACCTGCCTTACTCTCAATATGAAGGTTATTTGAAGAGCCAAGCGATCAGACTCTAGAACAGGAACAATACCTCTTAGCTATCTGCTCAGTTTAATTTCCTGATTTACTTAGCTGTTTAAAAGTATTTCAATATATTCATACTTATCTTTATAATTCATTTTGCTGTAGACATACTTGTATGCACCCCAAATCGCTTGGTGTTCATGCTCAAAGAAGAAACTCAGTCTCTCAAACTCAAAAAGTAAGTAATGTGTCCATCAATGTTAAGTATATTTCTTTCAGTAAACAATACTTTATGCAACTAAGTTTTCTGTGTGATTGTGGATGTAGAAGAACTCACAACACAAATAATGCATTGGCTGTGCAGATGGTGGGGAAGATATGCCTGATGATATAACAAGGTGATTGACTTAAAAATCAATTGTCAATTTTGTTGTTGTTCGGGCACTGACTGGAAGATAAAAACCCGGCATTTTTTTCGCTCAAAACTTGCCATCAAGCCCTGCAGGCTATAAAAATATTGTCCATCTACTTTTTTTTTATACTTATTCATAGTGTTGAGTGGCTTATCATAGATGAATCTGATAAACTATTTGAAGAAGGAAAATCTGGATTTAGAGAACAGCTGGCTGTTATTTACAAGGCGTGCGACTCTTGCCATGTGCGCCGGTCACTCTTCAGCGCCACATTTGCATACGATGTTGAACAGTGGTGTAAGATGAATCTGGATAATGTTGTTGCCGTTACAGTTGGGCAAAAGTATGTAGATCAGTTTCTGTCCTGAAATAGAGGTCTGTCTGGGTCAATGAATGATTACTGATTGGCAACTCAGCCCTGAGGTTGGGGCTTTCAATATTGTTAATTTTTTTTGTCTTAAGAGAGATTTCTCCCTCCATCAAGAAAGTGGGTACCTGTTAGGGTCAGATGCTTTACTTTTATGATATTTTTTTTTTATAGCTGCACACGTATAAAGGTGAAAATTATATATTTGTATTATTATTATTATGTTGCTCAGGATTGTAGCTATATAAAGGGTGGGTGAGAGACATTTTAAGGTTGGATGGGGGATAACATTGGTATTAAGAGTGGATTTTAAGGATTTAAAAGTGGGTTAATAAGGGACGGTGGAGCGTTTTAAACTAGGTGGAAAACTTCAATGCTGGGTGGCCTTGCCCACTTCTGCTCACCACATTCCTGGTTGCTAAAACCTACCTTAATTGGAACTTAGACAATGGAGAAATTAGAGAACAGTTGAAAAAAAAAAGCGACGTTAAGGGGAAAATAACATGACATTAAAGGGAAAATAACACAAAAAAAATTGGATTTAGTGAAATAGTAATTATTATTATTATTATTATTATTATTTAGTGAGGTAAAATTCACATTATTTTAAACTTATTGAAAATAATGAATTATTAGATTTCAAAATTCTTTTCCTTTTTTTTAATGAAAATTTAAGGAACACTGCAACAGACACCATTAAGCAAGAACTAACTTTTGTCGGTACTGAGTATGGCAAGCTACTAGCAATAAGGAACATCTTTAGAAAAGTGAGTTTCATACATTGATATCTATCGTTGCTAAGGAGTGGGGAAGGGCTTTTTGGAGGAGGTAGAACTGATCTGAGCCTCTGAAGTACCTTGGCATGTACTGCTGTTCTGTGGCACATCAAGGTATTTGCAGGAGGGGTGTTCAGAGTGTAGACCCATTTTAGACCCTCCTCCACTTTGACGTGAACCAATGCCATGTTTCAGAGTGTTGCTGCTGTCTTGAGTGCACATAAGGCCTATAAGATTTGATTGACCACAACATACTGGTCCAGCTAGTTAATATCAACTCTTTTGTTTCATTTACAAACATATCTCAAGAATTGTGTTAGTAAGGTATTTTCATATATTATTTTGTTTATGTCAGATGTTTTATTGAATGATAAGTTTGATTAATCTTTGGACCAAATAATTTCCATGAAAATGGTACTGGGTAAATGTTTAAAAAATTGTTTTTGATAATTATTATATTAAAACCAAGAGTTTTATTTTAATATACTATTACAATTTAAAAATTCTGAAATTAAAATTATGAAGAATAATGACTGATCGATAATGACTGATTAATTATTATCTTTTCAAGGGTTTTGAGCCTCCAGTTTTAATGTTTGTGCAGTCAAAGGATAGGGCCAAGGAGTTATTTAATGAGCTTGTATATGATGGCCTGAATGTTGATGTGATACATGCAGATAGACCACAACAACAGGTTAGACAGATTATTATTTCTAACTGTGGGGGAAAAAATTAATTATATTGTGTCAGTTTCCATAGGTTATTTTCAAAGATGCATTGCATTGACAACAGTTATAAAAAAAAAATTTTTTTTATAAGATTTATATTCCCCAAGTCATTGGATACAGAATCAACCTCCACTTCCTGGATATTACTCCTAGTTATGCTTGTAATGAGCATTACCAATTTCATTTTCAATCATTTACCTTATACAAGGTACCCATTTATACTCCTGGCTGAAGAGAGCCAATAAAGATAAAGTAGTTTTCCCAAGAACACACACAGGCAATGAGATTACCAATGGTCTCAAACCCCCAAACTTTTCATTAAAAGCCCAACGTCTTAAAAGATGTGCCACGCACTTCTATTTAGAAAATTCAGTAGGAATTTGGTGGAAACATACATTACATCTCTTGATTTTATAAACTTTTCAGAGAGATGAGGTAGTTAAAAACTTCAGGTCTGGCAAGATATGGGTTCTGATCGCCACTGAGCTAATGGGACGTGGGATAGATTTCAAGGGTGTGAACCTTGTCATTAATTATGATTTCCCAACTTCTGCGGTGAGTTACATCCATCGAATCGGTAGGACAGGACGAGCAGGGAGAAACGGAACAGCTATCACATTCTTTACGGAAAATGATCTAGCACACCTGAGAAGGTTTGTACTTTGATGAAACTGATTTTAGGATTAGTTTGCTTTGTCTGCACTATTAAGTTTGATGTGATAAATTTCTGTGATTTGCCCATATTTGGGCTTAATGATGTCATCATATCCATACATGGGCAATTGGCAGGTACTGTATTTTTTTCACATAAAACTTGATGAGGACCAAATTAAATTTTCATGTAACATTGAGGGCCACCCAACATTTATGTCTCCAGTGCACTCCTAAAAACCTAAATGTTTGGTATAGGGAGATTAGAAAGGCTGCTTGCTTAGTGTGTTAGAGTTGTGTTAAAAAGTTTAGCTATGGGGATTGTGGTCGGGAAGTTTAAAAGATAGAAATAGTTATCTAAATTACATATTTTTTTAGATTCCATTTATCAAATCAGCCTTTGTCTATAAAGGAAGATATGGGAAAATTTTGTGCCAATCAAAGTTTATTGATTACATCATTTATTGTTTTAATTTATGTCACCAGCATCGCCAATGTTATGAGAAACGCCGGCTGTGAAGTACCAGAGTACATGTTGCAGATCAAGAAAACATCCAAGTAAGTGCCATTTCTATGCAAATTAGCAAATAATAATCCATGCAGCAATAAATTGTTTTGAGAAATGTAAAGAATTCACAGACTACGAATTCTTCAGATCCCCAGCTTAATTCCATCACTGCAAGTTACTACCGTGTATTGTGTTTTGGAAAGACATTTGTTTAATAATTTCATGTTTTTTTTTTAATTACAGACGAGAGAAGAAACGTCTAGAAAGAAATCCAGTGGAAAGAACTACAATCAGAACACTGCCAAAAAAAGACTTGAAAAAAGCTCGTTGGAAAAGGTAATTGTATTTCAGGTATTTAAAGTGTATTATTGAACAGGACTTCATCCTTCAGTGTGTCAATTGTTAGTGATGCAGGATTCATTGTCAGGTATGAGTCAACAGTGGGGCATTGAAGAAATTGCAGTAAAAGGGGCACAAGGAAGGAATTTGACAGGTGAGCCCATTGCACAAGAAGAAAGTGCAATGGGGTCATTTCGTACCAATTTTTGCAGTCATCTCGGATTTCCCACGAAAACTAAGTACTGTAATTCCTATATAGCAAGAAATGGCACTCTCCAACTTAAATGCGATTTTCTTTGTTCACCCTGGGCTAGCTTGGTGTCCCCACCCTTGAATCCACCTCTGATTATGTAGAAGTATTCACCATATAATTTACCTGTATGAAATTGCAAAGCCTACAATACAATTATTAAGAACATAGGAATACTGTATTAAAAAAGTACATGAGCAAATGTAATGGCTAAAGTGAAAGAAAAAAATTGATTTAAATAATAATAATAAAATATAATTCATAATTTTTTTTAAATTTTCTTTAGGGAAATTATAAAACAGAAACTTGCAAAAAAGCAGAATCACGGAAGTAAACCTTCAATTGCAGCTCATGCAGGTGAATCAGCTGCTGGCAAAAAAGAAACAATTACAAAAATGAATAAGCATCCTAATGCCTTGAAACATTCAAAAACAATTAAAAAGGCACAAATTCATAGAAAGAAATCTAATGAGGTGCATAAAAAAGAAGAAAAAGGAACATGAACCAGAACCAAGCTATAAGTGGAGTCGTATCCTGATTTTTATTCAAGAGGTCTAATACAAAAAAAGAAAAAGCTACACCATAAAAGAACATAAATATAGAACCAGCAATTTGAGTTGTCAATACTTATGCAGTTATCCGGTACATTTTAATTAAAGTATAGGCACAGTATTTGGTATATACAGTACAGTATAATGGTCATTTATCAAGAGCCCTTGTTTTTCGCTTTAATTGAATACAAGATTGCTAAGCAACAGACCACATCTAAATATCAGCATTGGGTTTAAACCTTTTGTAGGAAACCCGAAGCCTTCTTGCTGCACTGAAAAAAACTTTTCATGATTGGTCACATCTTGAGAGTAACTGAAGCTCTTTTCACTACTACAAAATGATAAGCATAATCTAATATTTAAAATCTTAAATGATCTTAAAATGCAACTTGCTGCAAACAAGCAACGTTGGCCCTTGTGTCAAAATTGTAAGTTATTTATTAATTTTTTTTAAATTTAGATCAAATCAAATCAAACTTTATTTGTCCATTAAAACACAGGTAAAATGGAAATTCTTTTTCCACTGGCAAAGAACATGAAACATAAAAAAAACATTGTAAAAACATTAAAACACACCAGGACAACAGTGACTAAAATTTGTGCGGATGTATGTGCAACTGTTTTTCTTTTCCTCTAGTATCATTGGTCAGATACTGTATTTTTGGAAAACAATTGATTAATAATAATAGTCAGATTATTCATTATTCAATATGACCTTACAACCCTATATATTTGGTAGCACAAATACTGCAGTACTGTCTACTATTCTAAATGACACTACAGGGGCGGATTGCTATAAAACGGTCTTAACTTGTAGTCTTAAATTCTCGAATAAAGCCGGCTTTATCACTTAGACGGTCTTACTAAAGTCATTCCTCTAAGGCCATTGCTATAAAACAGCCTTCCCTAAGACCGCTTTGAGTATTGAAACGCAAACAAGCACTCCCTGGTAACGTAAGATTGAGGGCGATGTCATGCGTGCTCGACGCACGCAAATGTATTGAAATGAACGTAAATAAATGCCGTAGACCTATTTTTAAAGACGCTGAGAAGTGTGCGGAGTATTCGTTGTTCGATTCTCTGACTTTGATGATCTAGGCCTAGGTCTTGCCATTGAAGTGTTAGATTAATCAGCAGAACGCCATGATGAAAATGATTTAAGACCGTTTTAAGCCTCCTCCGAGTAGGCTTTAACATTTAAGACGGTTAACTGGTTAGACTGCGGTACAGCAATGGTCTATAATCATAGACCAGTAGTGACGTCACGATTATAGTCGGCTAACCATTAAGACCGCCTAAAATAAAGACCGCTTATAGCAATCCGCCCCAGGAACCTTATTTAAATTTAAACAACACAATTAAGAAATAAGTCAACAGATTTAAAATTTGATAAATACAGTACTTTATTCTACAAAAGTCCACATCCTTCTTTGGTCAAATGCATATAAAAAAGATATAAAAGGAAACGAATTGAAATACAAGTCTGAAGGAAATTTGGTTTTGTGTATTGCTACAATGTTACTGGTTTCCATCATGAGTATAATTTTATTATATTTATTATAGCAAAATTATTAAATATAAAATAGAATGTATACTGTATTATACATTCATACAATAATTTCTTATGTACTTAAAAATCCAGTTATCATATGAATAAAAGTGTAAAGCATTTAATAAATTCATAAATTTCACTAACATTATGTAGTGTACAACCCTTAATTCTTAGTAAACAGCTACTACTGTAATAATATTCCAACTTTATCAATTTTAAAATAGTGCTCCTAAAAACTAAGAAAATCATCTCAAAACAACTAATGTAGAACCCATATGCGCAGATACCTTCAGAGCCACACAAATTGTCTCTTTACAGTAGATGTTCTAATTTTCGTATTTAAAAACCTACCAAACTAGGCATGATATATACATTATCTACCGTAGATTAAATCTTGATTGCATGGGTCTCAAGTTGGAAGAAGCCACTTTTTGGGAGAATAATATTGTTTTTCTGTGCACGCTGATACCCATTGGAACCGACTTCCGAGAGACAGTTCATAATAGAGTAGCAAAAACCCTGTCAGTTTGTGGGCGATAGGCTATTTTCTGGCAGATTTTTCTTGTATTCCAGGACACCTGGAACCCCTATGATTGTCTTTGTGTAATCTACTGTACTACATACTGTAATCATATTAGTCCAGATCACTAAATATGCCATGCTAGATAAGATGTTTTACTTCAAAGAAAGCAGGCATAATACTTTAGTTAAAAAACTAAATATACAAGTCTCTTATTGACTTTTTCTAGTGTCTGTTTTTGTTTACGTTGTTGAATTTGTATGGAAAAAGTAATGTTATGGAACGCCATTAGTTCCAAAATGGATTTATTTTTAATAATTTACACTGATTAATACGAAATTTAGTGACTGGACCCCAGTCTAAACAAGACTATATTATCAAGGTGTTTTTATACACCCTACTTTCATCTACCAATCATTTCTCAACCTTTCTTATACAGTACTTCTACTAAATACTCAGTTCTCCTGAAACAAAATGTTACACAGAATAGGTTCTAATACTGAATCATCATCTTCACTTGAGTGAATTGAAACCAAGCTAAAAGTATCTACAATTGATAATGTTACATGCTTCTGTTTTCCTTAATACAAATATATATTTAACAGTACAAGTGCTTATCCTGTGCATTCGCACGAATGCAATGTAGTAGCGTATAAGAACTAAATTTCTTCACCATGAAATTTGTGTAACATTTTTAGTATAACTGCAAAGACGGTCACTCACTGCGGCAGACGGTCGTCAGCTGCCACATTCTATAAAAAACAGGAATAAGTCGTGCAACAGATCATTTTTAATGACGATCTGTCCAGACTGCCACTGGCGTGTCATCTAGCACTTTACAGGAAGCAGAGTTGGATTTGTTGTATGATACAGTTAGTGCCCTGGCTTAAGGCACACAGAAACATCATTAAAAATTGCTTCGCTACTCCTGTTTGGCTTCAACCACAACACAGTAGGCATTTACTCCCGATTTTCCTCTACCAGGGCAGTTCTTTCCCTTTGTGGTCAAGCAGTTTACCCGTGGAGGATTCATTTAGCGAGCTGAACAAACTCAACATGTTACGCACACTTTGCTCTGTTGTAAGAGTAGCATGTTCACCACCCATATCAGTTTTCACCCAGCCTGGATGAACACACATGACCAGGATGCCAAGGGGTTGAAGGTCACCACTCAGAAGCTTTGTCAGCATGTTGACAGCAGACTATGAAAGACAAAATTTATACGAAATTCATTACTGTACAAGTTTCACAACTAATTTAATGAATCTCACAACCAATTTAATATGAGAACTATGTTTTTTCTAGCAAAAAAGAAACTCCGCAGCTAGTATCGATACATGTCGATACAAACTCAACCAGTCCAGCTCTTTAGTAGAATATGACTGGGTGTGGCATTTACTTGTCATGGTTATGGAAAGGTTACTCTCAACAAACAGTCATCATTTCCTTATGGAGCATTGAAACAAAATTGTTAATGTTGATTAATTTACTGGATTATTAACCAACATTATAAAAAGTATAACAGGATGTTATGATATCAATACCAATTATGAAATAATTTTTTTTTTTATTTATTTTTTATTTTTTTGCAGCATAAAACTAATTATCTTCATTTAAAAACAAATGTATATAGTATAATCACTTGGATTACTTCAAAGGTCGGTGTGGCCAACAGGGGGCTTCGGGCATAGCATGTCGGTGTTTCACATTAGGTCCAAGTACAAGTTGCTTGGAGATAATCCATGTCCCATCAGATCAACTCTAATTATAACTTTTCCCTTCAAATAAATTAAGCACCAGGAGCCTATACTGTTGTTCATAAGGTGTGACGGGTAATATAGGGTCTAAATAACAAACCTTAGATATTTGATATGGATATGATGCTTTGGAACCAGGAGGAACAGATGCAATGGATGACAGAATAGAAGACATATTAATGACGGCTGCTTTGGAAACACTCATTCCAGGTTCGGAGGACGAGGAAACGGCTGCTTTCAGTAACGGTAGCAAAGTCTGTAGGACACAAATGCAAAAGTTAAAGAGATTATAAAACCAAGATAAACTCTCATAGTACAATGAAGTCTCAAATTTTATTTCAAATGATTACCAGGATATTGAAAACTAACACAACATGAAACCGCCGCGCCTCTATACATCATCATCTACGCCAAGATGTTTCTTGTAGGTTTGACGTTTGTACAATGCAGCATTTGGCGCAATGGCTTACTTAAAGCCGTTTGGTTATCGGGTGTTAAGGGAGAGATTTGGAGGATGGAATGATTGATAAACTTTAGGCAGAGGTTAATGGTATAGTTAGACTTAGAGATACAAACACAGAATAAAACAAGGCTGCGTCTTGTCTCCAATCTTGTTTAACATTTTAATGAATGAAATTAAAAAGATTCTTGTTTTAAATGATCTTGGTATCAGAGTGAATGACACGTGGGTAGGGATTATTCTGGGCTGATGATGTTGTCTTATTAGTAAATAATGAGCATGGAAATGGCAAAGATGCTCAATCTTGCAACAATGGATAGTAACTTATAATTTCCATTTCCATTAAAATTTCAATGTTTTCTCAAAATGTGAATCAGAAAATTTATTTAAATTAATATGTGATACCATTGACTATCCCATCGGAAATTGGACCAACTTAATTTTGAATAAACTTAAACAAGAAGCTTGTACTGATTGGAGAAGTAATCTTGATCAAAAATCTCCCCTTTCATATTACTCAATTATTAAGGAAAGCTCTTGCTTAGGAAAATATTTACTTGAAACTACAGATTTTGAGGGTGCTTGCATAAAATTTAGATTACGCTCCAATACTTTACCTTTACAAAGACGAATCTTAAGTTGGTCCGATAATAATGATGGCATTTGTTCTATTTGTAACTCTGATTCAATTGAAGATATTAGACATTTTCTTTTTTCATGTCCTTCCCTCCATAACATCAGATTGGAAGAACTAGCAAAGCTTGAACATGAAATAATAAATACAAATAGGCCTATTTGGAACCAATTTATAAATTCAACAACCGATCAGAAGTTAATGTATGTTCTTGGCTCTTTTTCACTAAATTTTCCAAAAGAAATTGAAGAAAAATTTGACAGGTTTTGTAAAAGGGCATGGAAAAAAAGAAATGCGATCAAAAAAGAAAATTGAACGTTTTTAAATTTAGCCCTGTATTACTTTATATTACTTATCTATTTGATTTAATTTCATCTGTGTGATCAGGCCTGATATGTGTACTTGTGTGATAGGTGGTGTTGTATAAAGTATGTACTGTATGTCTCTATGTTTATATTTGTGAGTATAGTACAGTCATGTGGCTATGGGTATGCAGTTTTGTATGGATATGTATGTACTTATGTACTGTATGTGTATTTCATGTACGTTTGTATGGTGTTTATACAATTTGTTCATGTGTGTTAGCTTGCATCACTTTATTTTGCCTTAAGTTTTTAGTTTAAGATTGCTTTTAAGTTTTAAATGACTGAACAGTTTCTTTTTTTACTTTACCTTAATGTCCCTTTTGAGAATTTGAACTGTCTTTTTCTTAGCAAAAATCTTTTTTGTGAACTTTACCGTACACTGTATTGTTTTGGACGCATCTTCTATTGAGAAGTGTGCTAATGATTGAAAAGTGTAGTTCCTAATAAATTAATGCAGTGTGTGCTCAGCTGTTGTATGTTCAAATCTTGTATTTAAAAACAGGATTTTGATTTGACAAAAACATGCGACATGCTACCACGATCTAAGTAAGTATGTCAGGAATATACAATGGTTTTTTGATAATCAGAGCTTCATGACATACCGGTAACCATCAAAATGAGACTTTTTCTATGAAGATACAGTATGTTTATATTTCATATTCTATTGTATACATTACCTGACAGAGATTCATTGGACCAACAACATTTGCACTGAAACTCTGCTCCATCGCATTTCGTGTTACATTTTCCAATGCTACATATTTTTCAAGGTTGACTCCAGCATTGTTCAGTAGGATATTCAACCCTTGGCCCTCTAGAATTCTTTGGACGTTGTCAGCCAGTGTTCGAATAGAGGACTCGTTAAGGACATCTAAATTGAAAAGAATAATGATTAAAATAAAATGCAACTTGTCAGGTAGAAATAAAAAAACAAATTGAGAGTAATCTTTTTAAATCCTAAATTTGTCAGATTTTCCGGGGATCCTTCACAGCACATAAAGCCAATTACACTCAACATTGTGCCCCCACACGTTGTGATTATAAAATGGTCTGCAGTGGGTATCTCATTGTATATGGACCAGCCTAGGGCCTATATCATACCTACTAATTCACACTTTCAACCAAACCTAGCTCTTAAGCCACTCACCTAAAATTTCCCGCTTTTCCACTATTTATCTCAAGCTTTATTTTTTTTGTCGAAATACTCAAAACCTTTGTTATGCTATAGTTTATCAGGCCATCATCATAAAATTCTATTGCTCCTGTTCTAGCCTAGCTACAAATTGTTAAGGTTTAATTTGAGCACTAGTAGAGAGATCACCAGAGATTGAGAGTGCACCAGAGAGCATCTAGGCCCTAAGCCAAAATTTTTCGGAGCCACTGGGCGGGGCCTCGACCTACGCCATTGGGTTCTTTTCCTGTCAAATCTCAAACCACTAGATACCTCCAACTTGGCATGTACAGTATGCTAAGTATATAGGCACCAGGCCAGGCCTATTTATTATACACATACATTATAGGTCTAGGCCTACTACCACCATCACAACTTCACATCCTCTGTCAAATGCCCGATGCCCACCCAGTGGCGGCTTTAGGATATATTTTCTGGGGGGGTGGGCTAAGTTGTCAAACAGGGAGACTTGAGCTCATACGCTCGAGCTGGGGGAATGAGGGGGTTCAATTCCCAAATGAGATTTTTTTTAAACAATAGCAACCTCTGGATGATGGCTGGAAGGCCTTTTTCATGAATCGCTAGACATCTTGAAGTGATGACAAGCATTGCGAATCAGCGGTGCGTAACCAACAGAAATAAGATAAGCTTTTTGGCTGACTTTCTGACATCATGCTATTTAAAAAATCATAACTCCATAACGGGGCGTCGTATCCAAAACATTTTTCCAGCAAAATGTTCTTAAAAGACTAGTCTATGCCACTATATGATTGAAAAAAAATTGAAAAATGTTTTTGACCTCTGAAATCAAGATGGAAAAAGTAAAGCCTATCTAAGTAGTGTATTAAAATAGGCCTATGCATTACAGTGCAGTAGCATGGTACTTTCGTGTTGTTACTGTTCCAGGTACCGATAATATACAGATTTCTCTTATTATAAAGTACAAGTTATGTTTTATAAAGAAGTATAGTATAGTAAATCATGTTTTAAACACAGGAAACTTTCATATGGTAATTAAAACAATGCTAAGGCCCCATAAAAAAAATGATTAGTTTATCATCCCCGCGCGCATCTCTTTTGACGAAATCGCGATTTTTTTTTTTTTTTTTTACTAGATTTTTTTCATTGAAAAAACGATCGTTTGTTCGTCAAAAACAAAT